AAATAGAGTGCACATATATTTATAAAAAAACAGTTGACAGCAATCAGGAACAATACGTAAGATTAAAAAATATGGCGGGAAAAAACTAGAAGATTATAGCTAAGAGTTCTTTGGTTAAAGTTTGAAATTTTTTACTAAATTTTGTCCTGAGTACCTGTTTTTAGTCCTTGACTAACATTTGTGTTCACATTGTTATCATTTTTTGTTTTTAAACCTTTTAAATCGAATTAAAATGGTTGGTAAGACTCACAAATGTGGGCAACCAAATTGTTTGTTCTCCGTTGAGGAGGGAATGCAGTGTGACGACTGTAAAAAGTGGTATCACAAAATGTGTACACGACTAAGTCCGACGGCTTACAAAAGATGCTCGAAGCCTAACTCGCATTGGCTTTGTATGTTCTGCTGTACGGATAAAAAGGTACTAATACAGGAGGCTATGGGCCTATTGGCTTTGGCCTGCAAGAAAAATGATGGCGGAAGCACTGATAACAGGAGCACTGACGATGAAGAATGTGTCAGTGTAGTAAGTGCTGCTACTGGACCCATTAAACACCTGACTGCGGTTGACGGGAACGTGAAATCTCCGTTGACATTAACGAGAAATGAAGTGTCGCTTGATAATGACATCGGCAGTCATACACCTCTAGTCGAAATAGAAGATCCGGATAAAACTGTCACCGTTCCACATAGTCCAGGTGTGGCTGTTCTGAGTGGTGACAAATGGACTTCGGTAAGAAGAAAAAAAATAAGAAGAAAAAGGCTGTAGGCAAAACGCAGCTGGTCAGCAAAACATTGGAAGGGATGTTATCAGAAAAAAAGTTCCCACCGCGTGAAAAGACAGATCTCTCTGATAGATCAGTCATTTTTCATAAGATAAGAGAATCTTCAGATACTGAACCAAAGGCAAGATTTGAACATGATCTCAATCATATTAAGACATCATTAAGTAAACTACTCCCAGATACAGTTTCAGGAGTTAGTATTTGTAAGCTTTATAGAATAGGAAAAAAGGTGGATTCCGAAAGTCCTCAGAAAAACCGCCTCCTAAAGGTTACATTCAACACGGTGGAAGAAAGGAACCTGATTCTAAGTAATTCACGTAAACTGATTGGATCCGGAATATATGTCCGTGAGGACCTCAGCCTAGCTGATCGTATTAAGAGAAGAGCTGCAGAAGCGGAAATAAACGAGCGTCGCCGAAACGGTGAAAGAAACCTCGTTCTTAAGGGTTTTCAGATTGTAAAAGTTCGGAGCAAAACGATCCCCAAGCCACTCTGGGTGGCAAGGGAAAGCTCTCCACAGACTTAAAAGTGTGCTACACAAATGCTCGCAGCCTACTAAATAAAATGGCGGAGCTGAAGTCAGTGGTGGACAAAGAAAAACCGGACGTTATCGCTGTCTCGGAAACTTGGTTAACGTCAGAAGTATTAGATAGTGAAATCCAATTGACTGGTTTCATAACCAGTAGGGCTGATAGATTAAACCGAAGGGGAGGCGGGGTTATTTGTACACCAAAAGTACCCTAACCATAAGATTAGCTGAGACAGTAGCACATGTTTCAGGGACATGTGAACTGGTGAGATGTAAGTTGAAATGCCGAAGGCAAGATATTGAAGTAGTTGTAGTTTATCGCAGTCCAGAATGTGTAGCAGATGATTTTCTCCTTAGTAAACTTAAGTCCTGGTGTAACAACGGTAAAAGCCTTGTAGTAGGCGACTTTAATGCACCATATATAAACTGGGTTAACTTAGAAGTAGGGTCATCCATATCGTCGTTCGACTCCAAACTGTTAGAAACCTCGATTGGACTAGCATTATTCCAACACATTAGAGATCCCACAAGATACGACTTAAGAAACTCTTCTCTTTTAGATTTAGTCTTCACACACGGTGATGACGTTGGTCAAACGGCTTTTCTCCCACCACTTGGGAGAAGTGACCATGCAGTCATCTTATTCAAATTCATGGCTGAGATTGCTTGTCAAACAATTGCGCCGGCCCGTCCTAACATATGGAAGGCAGATATGCAGGCAATTAACTCCGCAGCATCGGCTGAGAACTGGGAAATTGACTCAAAGGCATCAGTACAAGAGGCATGGACTCTATTCAGGCAGTTATACAATCGGGTAACTCAACCATACATACCCTGGACTGTCCCAAAGAAAAAGAAGCACGGACATCCCTGGATAGGGCGGGATATTCGACGCTTACTAAGACAAAAGAAGAAATGCTGGGATGTTGCCATCCGCCTTGGCACAGCGGGTACGATGGAACGTTACAGATCGATAAGAAACGAGTGTATAACTAAAATTCGGGAAGCGCAAAGAAAATATGAAATGCAGCTGGCAGAATCTGCACTCAAGCAGCCCAAGAGGATATTCTCGTACATAAACTACAGAACAAGGATTCATCATTGGATTCCCAACCTAATTAAAGTAGGAAGTGAATCTGAAATGATAGAGGAAGATCAGGAAAAAGCTGAGGTTATGGCTGACTACTTTGGGGCAGTTTTCACTCAGGAACCTCCTCTAGAGAAAGAACCAGACCCAATTACAGAGTCAACAAACCAGCTGCTCACCGTGGACTTCGACCAAAACGATGTGCTTAAGGCTCTTAGCACCCTAAACATGGAGAAGTCAACAGGACCAGATGAACTACACCCTAAAATCTTGAGACATATTGCCCAATATATCGCAGCCCCACTGACTGTGATATTCAAAATGTCACTTGACCAAGGTGTGTTACCTATGGACTGGAAGGACGCAATCGTCACTCCCATACATAAAACAGGACCAAGACAAGTTCCATCAAATTACAGACCCGTAAGCCTCACCAGTGTTGTAATTAAAATACTGGAAAGAATAATCAAACGGACCATAACAGCATTTATGGAAACCAATAACTTGCTGAACATGGCACAACATGGTTTTAGAAAGGGTCTATCCTGTACAACGAACCTCCTTATAGCTAGGGAGCTCTGGATTAATGCGCTAGACAACGGAAACTCAGTGGATGTTGTCTACATAGACTTCAGTAAGGCTTTTGACAAGGTGCCAACTAATAGGCTGCTATTGAAGTTGGCAAACCTTGGTATTGCCGGACCTCTTTTAAAATGGATTAAGGATTTCCTAGTAGGTCGTAGGCAAAAAGTAAGAATAAATTCCAAGTGCTCCATCTGGAGACCAGTACTTAGTGGAGTACCCCAAGGTTCCGTCTTAGGTCCTTTACTTTTTATAATGTACGTTAATGATCTTACAAGTATAGTACAGTCTCCAATGTTATTATACGCTGACGATGTAAAAATTTGGCGAGTAATAACTGGAGACAAAGACGCATTTACTCTTCAGGCGGACTTAAATAATATGATAAACTGGTCTAAAGAGTGGCTAATGCCTATCAACTCGGAAAAGTGTGTCTACATGCACTTGGGGGATTCAAAGGTTAATACGTACAACATAGGGGATGTGTCATTACCCGTAGTCCGGTCTCATAAGGACCTAGGGGTGACAGTGAGCAATGATCTTAAGACGACGGCCCATTGCCGGGAGGTCGCAGTTAAGGGGTTTCGAACCCTCTGGGCTTTAAAAAGGACATTCACTAAGCTTGACACTACCATGTTCACCACATTATACACATCCTTAGTGAGAACTAAGTTAGAGAACTGTGTTCAGGCTGCAAGCCCCTGTTTAAAGGTGACTCGGACATAATAGAAAAGGTACAGAGGGCAGCTACGCGTGCAATTCCGGAACTCCGGGTTTATCATATAAAGAGCGGCTTGAAAAACTGAACCTCTTTACTCTGTCCTATCGCAGACTAAGGGGAGATCTAATATTGATGTACAGAATACTGAGAAATGATTTCGGACCTAACTTATTCTCTCTCTTTCTTCCCACTAGATCGGGACACCTCAGAGGACATAGCAGGCGAGTAGAAAAGCCAAGAACGAACAAAATACCCGTGGCATACAGGTTTTCACACCGAGTCATCAATACTTGGAACCTGCTGCCTGAAGCAGTGGTGTCCGCACCTTCAATTGACTCTTTCAAGAGAAGACTGGACACTCACAGAAGCATACTAGAAAAGGAATAACATAGGCCGTAGGCCTTCTCTCCTTACTACACAAATCTGAATCTGAATCTGAATCTGAAAATTCGAGCTAATCAGCGAGTTCAGTTCGTTCATAAGCCGCGCTTTTTAAAAGGGTAGCAGTTGAGTTAAATTTTAGTTTTCATTGTTCATTGCTCATCAAGGCTGCTGTCATTTCAATTGAATTAACTTCAGTCTAAGTGATACCAGTATTCCCCTTCCGAAAGCTGTTAGCATCTGTATTTTATATTAAATACAACAGTTCTGTCTGTTGAACTATCTAAACTTAACAGTTCACAACTCACTGTTTGCTTACCGCACACCTTTTTGAGTTTTTAGCTTTTGCATCTGCATGTCTTTTCCAAGTTATCTACAAACCTATGATTGATAACTGCCCAGTGTAGGAAGGGGTGTTTGTTAACGCATTGGTTATCGATAGCCGTTGGGTAGTGGAAAGCACTATGATGCATGGAAATCATAGTACCACGAAGTTTGAAGAAATATAACACTAGTGTGGTTGGTAGGTCTTTTAGTGTAGATATACCGGTAGTTTCTGCTCAGGGGAATCGTATGTGATACCCACGAGTGCTTTGCTTTTATTTCTGTTACCGGAAAACTTGGCTGTTTCGTTTTTCAAGGCTAAAGCTGGTTCTGATATTAATCTCAACGCACTTCAATAACTGAAACAAAGTAGGGTCAGTGTTTCATGAGGTGCTTCACACAGACTAAATTAAAACCAAATATTACATTCTTATAAAACACAAGATGACCTCAAAATACTAGCTATATATTGAAATCAGAGCATAAAGCGCATTTTGATGAGGTTCATATGACCAATGCTTCTCGGTTCGATATTCAAGTACACTGGTCTTTTATACATTCTTCAAGTGCAGTTTATTTCTGTTCTCTATCTAGACGATGTCGAATAAGTTATTATTTGGTAAAGCTCTTACCTCATACGACGATGAAGATATTGATGAATTGTTGTCTAAGCTAACACCAGAGGAGCTGGAGCAGCTTAATGATGACTTTGATCCTGACAATTCACTGCTTCCTCCTTCACAGAGGTGTCGTGACCAAACTACCAAAACCCCAACTGGACCTTATGATCGTGAAAAATTACTAAGGTAACTATTGTTCATGTTTTTTTTTTTTATAAATAATCGTTGATCCCAGTTAAAGTATAGGCTATCATACTAATAAACATGCACTTTTTTTCGGACTCAAGTGTTTATTTTACACGAGGTTTCTTCTAAGTCCGTTTGAGCGCTGCTGGATAGCGTTTCAGCTTTAGTAAAAAACTAGTCAGGAACTAAATTCCAAAATCGACATTTATCTGATAGTGATTACCGACCCAAGCCGGTGTTTGCAGCCTCGAATTCGTTGGGGAAGCATCAGTTCTTGGATATCGTTTTTAGCCCCCCAGATGCCCTGGTGCGGCCGAGGGTGGGGAGTCTGCTCTCCCTCTCGACATGCTCTTATTTGGCCACACACGTCCACTACCTTCTCCCGGCGGAGTTGTTGTTTACAAACTTGAGGGGACGAAGAGCGAATGTCCGGCGCTTTAACCGGGTTGGTGGATATGGTGACCACCTAGGAGAGTTGGAAAATCTAAACTCCAAACCAATGGTACACATGGGCTCAAGGATCCTGACGGAACAGATGGTGTATGAACCTATTGTTGGTTACTAGCTTCAATGTGACTGCATCTTCTGAAGTTGCTCCATTGCGTTGTGGATTAGACCTTTATGTCAAAGGCTCGGGGTGTGACCCCCTAAGAGAACCACCTGCTTCGGTCTGGGCACCTGGGCAGTATCACAGCCCTCATACAAATCAATAATTACTACTGGCCTCATTGTTTTTGTGTGGTGAATATGTATTAAGTGCCCCTTGTACTAATGTTTATGTGTTCAAATAAATAAAATGGATGTCGTTTAGTGTCGACAGGCCACACGATATATAGCTTTTATTGGTAATTTTGTTTTCAATTCTCATTTATTTTGTATTTCTCTCTCTACTGAAGAAGAATAAAGTTACAGCTGTTTGGTTGGATAGTGGCTAGCAGTGAAATCCAGGACACGCGCTTCGTCCTATTTGAGACTCGTCGTTTAGATGTACCTGAATCTCAGTTTATTTTGACTCCGGGACTTTAATCCAGTACATATGCCGATAAAGGGCTAATCAACCGCAGCCCTAAAAGTCAATTGGAAGATTCAAACAGCCGACACAAAAAGGGATTGAACTTCACCACATTGCACAAGCCAGTGGCTATCTGAACCCAGTAGCTAAGTAGATAACGCGATGGCGTTTGAAGCGAACGGTACTGGGTTCAAGTCTCGGAGTGGACATCCAGCTGAAGAGTCCCAAAGAGGACGAAACGCTCATCTTGGATTATATTGCTAATCAATATCCATCTTTGCCTATAGTGCTGGATTAATTGTTCAATCCTTTAAATGTTACTTATTTCAAGTATTGTCATTGAATTAACAATTTAGTGGTTTCGATTTTGCGTTCCCATTCCAAACATGTGTAAAGTAATAGAGAAATAAAGCGAGTACAATGTTTCCCTGCATTCGAATGTCTTTTAAGACAAGATGAGCTATGGGAGTTACACTTCGCGACCGATTTTCAAAGTCATCCATATTCATGTTGAAATCCAAATACAGTAGATGTAAAATGTGATCGATAGACGAACTCACCAATAATAAAGAGAAACGCCCACCACCACATTAACTCTCTTTGACCTTGTACTACTATATCTCTTTATTAACCAATCACAGTTTGATGTTCATTGCAAAACAATATTTGCTTGTTGAATCATTTTGCCTATTCGCTGGCTACTGTTCGGTATGTTATTTGTCTCTGTTTTTCCCTGTATTAATAGACCGTACTGTCTTTCTGTACACTAAGGACGTTAATTTACGTTTTAGAAACAGATAAAGTTTATCTAGCCAATTTAGCTTGCTTGTTCTGACTTTGGCCGAACCAAGACTCTATATTCGACGGTCTAGGGAATAGCTCAGAATTAAACCTGTAGGAAATTGCTTCCTACAGTAGATATGATCAAACTTTTCGTTTTATATAAGCATAAGTGTTGTTTTCTAAAATTTTGACAGTTTCCAAAATATTTTACTATTTTTCGGAACATAGATATCTCATTGAAAAAGCCAAAGCCGAAAGAGATTGGGAAGAAGCTGTGCCTTATGAAAAAAAGAAAAGGGGAAAAGTCTATACACCAAAACAAACTATTTCACCGAGCACGCAAAACGAATTAATTGAAATGGGTTTCGATGTAGAGTTTGATGATGATGTAAATAAGGTATGTACGCTGGTTACTTCGTGTTTTTAATTTAAAACACTATTTACAATAATGATTTCAGTAAAATAGACATTCAATAAATAAACCTCACATACTTTTTTAGTAAAAAGTATTAAGTGCTCAAGGTTTGTTCAGTCGATTGGGGAGGTATTAAACTTGAGTGGGATTGGCTACCACTTAAGCGGATTTGTTTATAACTCAATACTTCTCTAAATAACTGACTGATAATACCCGTGTCCGCATCACAATGCTTTCCTGCTGGTAACATAGGCATATAATTTCATTTAACACATTCAGGGTTGTGTGAAGCATTAGTGCAACGTAGCAGATCTCCATTTCAGAAATGGTGTTAGGTTTTCCACATCTATTTCTGTTGGTTTTTGACGTACAAAATTATGTATATCCGTTTTTATCTGTTGTGTTGCGAAAACCTACACTAAAACTCAATAGTAATGTCTATAGTACTGATAAGTAGGTAATCCTGTCAATTCTGTCGTTCTGTGTCCGGTTTGTTTTTGTGAGACGTTATTTTGTAATTTTTGGGATTATATTTGTTCAGAAATTAAGATGGAAAACTGTGATGATTTCTTGAGCTGATAATTTTACATGCTCAAAGTATTAGCACTTTTTCGGGTAAAACTTTTATATTAGATTACGGTTATATATTATCTGTGATGAGTACCGGTTGACAAGTTCTGCTGACCATCCTACAAAATCTAACATTGTGTTTCGTAAACACGAAGTCATTCCTCGTACTCCGTTCAAATTTCAGAGGTTTGTTTGCCTTTTAAGAAGCTAGTTTTCTGGCAGGAAACAAAAGTTATCTAACAGTTAATTTAGACTTTCACGATCGGTAACTTTTAGCTAACAATATTTTAAATTATCTGGTGAATAACCACTTTGTTTCATATTTATAAGCTTTATTTTTATCTACACACCATTCACTCTGCAACTGTTGATCGTAATTCCTTTCTTGTCTACATAAAATTAAAAAAAGAATAACCGATGGGGTTTGTACAGTTTCCTCTGACGACCACCTATTTTTACCATCATTTTTTATTGTATTGATAAAGAAAATTTTAGCCGTATTGTGTTATGTAACATAAAGTTTGTGAATTTATATATATTTTTGTTAAGGCTCTTGAAAATGCTACTGAAGATGAACTTGTTGATTTGGCTGCTGTCCTGGGTTTTACTGGGATGTTGAATCAAGTACAGTTCCACGCTAGTTTAGAAGGACGTAAATTGGAAATGGGTGGATTCTCTGGTGTGGCTAAAGCTGAACGTCCTAAAGTCGTGCCAAATGAGCCACCTAATATGACAGATGTAGAGGTTTGTCTCGTTTTTACCTCTACTTGGTTAACCCTTTTTCTTTGTAGCTTAACATCACTTGAAAATTGAGGGACACTAAACACTTTTTCCTTCACTAAAGACTACTTACCATCGTTCTCTGTTCTGACCACGTTTTGTAATTTAGCCTTTCGTAGTGAACTTTTCAGTTTTGTATGATGTTGGTTCAGTCACAAGTGATTGACATTTTCTACCTTCAGGTTGCTACTTATAAGTGTATGCTCAGGATGTCTAGTAATATCAAAGGCGGTGGGTTAGTGTCCAGTTACACATTCAAGCCTTTTTTTACAATAAATTTGTTGATTAACAAAGGAAGTGAATAGACCGTTTTCCAGTTCAACTCAATTTTTTGATTTATTACCTAATCGACTGGCCTTTAAAAACTGTCTGACTCTGCCATTTCAATTCCGGTATTATGCACAGTATCCATACTAATTAAATAAATGTATTCAACAAAGGATACTATGTTGTCACCATAAAGCCGTCGACTGTTGAACCAAGCCCTATTGGTAGGTCCAGACTGGGTGCTTCGGGTTCGCACGATCACCATGATCAGTGGTTAGAGACGTTGATTAATAGCTTAGAATCTATCCATATGGCCCAGATAGTCATTCTTTGTGTACTCCCGGATCCTGAATTTTAAAATCGTTTTGTACTTACTCAGCGACTTCGTTTTTTCTCCTCATATCTGTTATGTTTTTTGATCCTTCGATCTTGTTACCGGCATAAAAGCTTCCCATAAGCGAGCCCAAACCAGCTATTTGGGTGAGAAAGAAGCCATCTTAACTAAAACTGAGTCTAAAATATATGCACACACTCATAAATATGCATTTTCCTCGCTTAGAAAATAAAGCCACATTCTCAACCAATAGCGTATGCCTTTTTCCTTAAGAAATTAAGCAAAATGTTGGCTAGTAGAGTTGGTTTAACTATAGACCTGTCTAGCTGACCCAGCGTATCAAAATCATGTTCTCCATGCTGTCATTGCTGTTACTACTACTTTGCTATCCATCTTGGTAGTCTTATCATCAATTAGTGCGGCGACTGAAGGCGCTTCACGTGTGGGAGGTTCTATGTTACTTATAGCTAACACTGCTGTCTCAAAAAGATAATGATTAGTCGACCTTAGACCCTCTATTTAGTGGTCAGTAACCAGGACTTCATTTACTTTTATAACTTGCTCGTGTATCTACATTTTCAATACTTTAGAATTTAAACTAGTAGATACCAAAACATTTTCTATGGGGTTTTTCAATCAAATAGGTCCGATCTTGTAACCTACGGTGTATAATTGTTTATTTCTATTCTATGGTTCTATTTTACTCTCACCTAAAAATAAACTATTATTTTAAAAAAAACTGCTTTATTCCTCCAAAATTTCACATGTCTTCATACTTGGATTCATCATTTATTACTTGCTCACTTTAAACTGCTTGTATTTTTCTTCCTATCTTTTATACGTTTCAGGATAGTATAAAGAAATTGGAAAATAACAGCGAAGAACTAACTAAATTAAATTTAAACAATATCAAAACAATAAGTGCTGAAGCAGTACAGCGCTTATGTGCCGCTCTTACAAAGAATAACCAGTTAACTGAACTGCATATGGCAGCAACACGTTTAACAAACGCAATGGTTGAACCATTCTTTGATATGTTGCAGAAAAATACTGTATTAAAAGTATTAAATTTGGAGTCGAACTTTTTGACTGGTTAGTCGGAAACATTATATTTACTGTGAACAAATATTAAAATTACAAGCGGAATTTGACATGCCTCAATTCATAAGAATAAATTCAGTCATTAGTAGACGTAAACATATTGCCATAACGTATCAAGAACTATAGGAGTGTAATATGTGCTAAAATACCCCAATTAAATAGCAGATTCGAAGCATCTTACATTCGATTAGGTTGGTATAAATAAATATTTTTGTATTGTGTTCTATGAGCTGAATAGTTCAGTTACGAAGCTTCCGTTGATGTTGTGCTATTCATCGTTTAACGATCCAGCTTTTCCTAGGTCTGAGTGAGTCATTACTCTGTTCCGTGTTACTGGAATAATGATAAGGGTTTTTCGAGGTTATATATATCCATTCGTTACTTTTTACAGTGTGTTATTAAAAATTTTTTTTTACGTAAAAGTGGGGTATTATGCATATATGTATTTATGTGCCTGATCCTACGTTGCAGCTGACTGAGGTATTATGTCAACATTAATTGAACCTTATTTTGATTCTATAAAGTCTACTTTCTTATATATTTGTAAACATTTACATGTGACTTCCCTGTACATATACATATGTAATACATATAAACGTACACATACAAGCACATGCTTGTTGTCTTATCATACAGTTCTTGTCTATGCAAGTGTCAATCGATATCAAAAATGTGTAACTTCCACTAGATTTTTGATTCCAGATTATGTGTTTATGTGTATATTGTACATTATCCTATTAGGAACGATAAGCTTTTTCATATTGTTTTTCTCTGAGTGATAGTTTTCTCTCAGCCACAGGTTTACGTTTGGTGTCACAAATGTTGCTTCCTTTGGAACAGGATTCTAGACTTCAAAATACAGTTATTAGTGAACATAAACCAATTAGTTTTATGGCTCAACTATCCAAAATTGGTTTGTTCTTTTCAAACTTCACTCGATTTGCGAGTGTTTTCAGTGTCATAATGTATATCCTGCCACAAATGTGCATTGACTCTAATTACCGTGCCACAATGCGAAAGACTGAATGTTGAGAATATGGTTCGAAAATGCAGAATAATAAGGTATATGTAGTAGAGTTCTTTAACTTACGATCTAGAGTAAGATAAAGAATGAATGCATGTTTATTTATTTATTTAAACACATAAATATTGGTAAAAGGAGGCACCAAACAAATATGCACCACATAAATCATTCGGTTTGTGTGAGGGTTGGGATACTGCCTGTGTGCCCAAACCGAAGCAGGAGAAGCTGGTGCTCGTCTGTGATGCATGTGCGCCATTGTAAACCATCATAAGCTATGTCTCCAAAGTCTGATCGCAGTTGTGCGGAGCCCAAGCAGTTAGTCCGTACCTACTAACGTAGCCAAGTCCTACAGTTGGTGACGTGATGCACTGGTGCTACTTTTTTTTATCTGACCAGACCTGTATCTATACCAATGAGAACATGTCGTGAAGATAGGTGGTGGTTGGACATACTTGACATATGTCCTAACCACCTCATTCCATGAAGGTTCACGATTTTATCAATCAATTTGTCATCTTTACCTAGAATCTTATGCCTAACCCCAACAAAAATGTTCTAACAGTCTGGTTGTCTTAAGCCAATCAACAACATGTTTCTCAGTAAGGTGACTTTTTGCTTATTGTTGTCATATCTTTTGTGTGGTGTGTTTTACTGATGACAAAAGCAAGAGCAGATGGTAGATATGTGTATTCAAGTTTATTTTATCCAACATATTTCCGCGACCAAGGTAGAAAGAACTGGACTCGAGGAGTTTGTTTGACTATAGATTACCTAATGTTCATATAGAGTCAATGGGTAGTTCAATATGAATGAAATGTAGTCAGTGAAAAAAACGAACGATGATAATGTACTTAGGTAGTTTCATTTTAAAAACAACTACTGTTTTACTTTTAATTCATCAAACTACTTATCTATCATGCTTTTTTTTATATTTCAGGTGTTATCCTCGTTCGTTTATTGGAGTCAATTAGCCATGAAAAAAGTGGAATAACCGATTTGCATTTAGCTAATCAACGTCAATCTGTGCTCGGTGTGAAAATTGAACAAAATTTGACCGAATTAATATTAGCTAATCCACGTTTAGTTCGTCTGGGCTTAGATTTAGAGACTAGCGATGCACGTGTACGTACCAGGGAACATGTCAAATTTAATTTAGATCGTATTTCTCGGCAACTACGGCGTAATAAAAATTAAATTTTTATGTGAATATGTAAGTACGTTTGAACATTGTTCTGATTTTCACTTTGATTTGCCTTTAATTTACCTACTTATTTTTCCCATCTATTTTGCTTCTATAAGCTATAGAATTAGCCTAGTATTATTAAGTTGGTTTACATGTGCACATTTATTTATGTATATCCTGTTATTATTTTCAGTTTGGTCTGTTTGTGTTAGTCGATTTCACTGTTGTAATGTATCTGTTAACATAATTTCAACATGTATATCTGGCTTTGTTTGGTCATCGTTACTAATATATACTCATGATGAACACATCATATTATGAGTCCAAAATAATAAAAATCATCTCAATTCTTATAATTGTTGTTTCCTTCATGTTCATAATCGAAAAATAGCCATTTCAAGGTAGTCAAGAGTTACACTTCCATTTGATTTTGCTTCTAATGTGTTTGTATCGTGAGTTGAAAATTCGAATGATACGATTGTCGTTACTTAACATCTTCCTATATTTTATTTACTGTCTTCCATTTGGTTACATGCATTCTGTATTTAAATACAAGTAAATTAGTCTTCTTAGTCACAAATTTAATATGCAATTAATCAATTTTGTTTGTATTCACTTTTATTTGTAATCTTATTGGATAGTTGGATATCCGGTGACAACTGCTAAAAAGCACAAAATAGCTGTTGGCTATTTCTCCAATTTCTCGGGGCTGTATACCATTATATCTAAATTGTTTTAGTGTCATTTTGCGACTGATAAAGCCGTTCTGTTTTATGTTTCAACGTTAGATGGACTCTGGGTTATATGAGATCGAATCCGACAGGGAGCATCAGTTCCCTCAAAATCACAGGTATATCTTGCTGATGGGTACCAAATAGCATTAAACCTTAGTTCGGGGTATATTTGCTAGATAAGGTAGTGTAGAGCCTTTATATATTTGCTTTCGTGCATGGATTATAATGTATTGACATCATGTTGTACCAGTATACAATGAGAAAGATATGGATGGTTAGTATCTGGTAAGATAACACCTGCCAGGAGTTTGCAAGATTTTAGTTGTCTATCCGCAACCATATTATTAATGACCTGAGAAGGTCCACCACACCCTGCTAAATGCCTTCAGCACTCTGCACAATACAGCAATGTCTTCTTATAAGCTCTGGGAAAATAATGGATAACAATAAAGAATTAACAAGTCGCGAAAGTAAATGCTGAACAAAGCCAATAGCATGTAACTTTATGTGTAATAAGTCGGAGAGGAAAATTTCTTCGATACCAAAACATGGGAACACCAAGAAAGATCAGAGGGAAAGCTTACACTAGAATAAATTACCTTTGACATTATTAAAAGATCTCCAGTTGTACGAGTTTTGTGGGATTCTAACAGGGTGTTTGAATGCTGTTCATGATTCAAGATAAAGTTAATAGTTTAGAAAGATTAAGTGTGAAACCATTAGAAACAGACCATCGTTCACTAACAGACAAGATCTCATTTATTTCAAGATGATACATACATACTTTGATATCGACTGCATATTTAGAAAAAGTGTTTTTTAAGGAAGATGGCAGATCATGGAGAAAATAAAGAGGAAAGAACAGCTCCTTATGGCACACCATGAGTCAGTAGATACACTGAACACTTCCCTCTAAACGCTACTATTATTTCCCAAAGAAGTAGGAACAGCCAGTTGGTTATCCAACTGTCGGTGTCGACGCTGATAAAACTGTAAATTGTTGTGTTGTAAGGGAGTCCAAGGCAGACATATAGTCTAGAAATGCGCATCGAACATACCCTTTTCCAAGTTGAACACTATTATGATACAGAACACTAACATTGTCCACCTGCGCTTCGACAGTACCTTCTGCAAGTGCCACCAACTAGTTCGCGGGAAATAAAAACCAGGTGCACCCTACTTGATCCAATATCCTAAATTTCAGTTGTTTGACATTATTTCCAAGTAGGCGGGTTTACTTTGGAGATGCTAACTAGCTAAATCGACGCAGTTGGATACGTTACCTCCAACGTCCGAATCTAGTGTAGGTAGTGTGTTAGCGGCCGAGTAAGTCATGTGTCGATTGTGTTAAGTTTTTAAGGTTTGATAGACTGTATATTGTACTGCATAACATATCGTCGGCTGTTGCAGATTTTAGTGCCAACACGAGGCAGCTACTGCTGATGGGCGTAAACATCTGTAGCGATTCGATTGTGGACTATCAAGTCAGCATTTTTTTTGTCATCTGGATAAGTAATGGGAACGTTAGACTCTTGTCTTCAGACAGAAGATAAGAGACAAATTCGTAAGTCGACAAAATAATGGGACGATTTGTTTGTATTTCAGATGGCCATGTTGACGCGGTTAATGGATGATAACCATAAAACATCTATGCGCTGTATTTTGTCATACGTCATGACACCTGAAGTTGCCAGCCTTTTAATATTACTTGGCACTTCGTCGAAAATTGCAGATTATACGGCGCATTAACTATTCGGTTCCCGTCCTCATCCGTCAACAAAAAAGACCTTGGGAAACTGTGTGACATCGCGTCGCAAATGTACTTTCACAACATGAGAGACAAAATACAAAAGTGTTATTGAATAAAATAAGAGCATGTGTGTATTAATTTGAAGTGACTATCGTTCTATAGGTACAATGTTCAGTGTTAACAAAGATGACCGTAAGTAAAACTTCACTTAGATAGTTGATTAAAATAGCAATAGCTGTTAGATATCGTTTTAATTTTGGTGTTCATTAAATTTGAGAATTCACAAGAAAATTACTCTGCTTCTCAATAGACCAACAGGTTTTACAAAAATGCATTACTAGTTGGATATTTTTAATGTTCAACTTCGATATCAATAAACATTTTTAAAACATGCACATGCGAAACCCTTTGAGCTATACACTCACTAGTGAGTGTTGAGAAAGCCTGTTTGACTTTAAATGCACTTGTAATTAAGTACTCGTGCCTAATTAATAACACATAACCTGGGATATGTCACTTACTCGGTCGCCTACGCACTGCCCACACGACCAGATTCGGAAATTGAGGCAGACGCATCCAACTGTGTCGAAGTAGTCTATTAACATTTTTGGAGGAAATACACCTACTTGACAAGTGGTGGGACAATAGTGATCAGAAACCGGAATTTAGGGTATGAAACGTGGTTAGTTTCAGCCTACGTCAACGAAATTGTACAGAAACCCTTCTTTTTTGCATCTCTACGAAATATTATTAAGATTACTGTACTAACCTCTTCGGTCCCCCTTCGTTTACTGACAAAGTGTTTTCATTCATAAAACTGCTGACACGCTAAGCAGCCAAGTTGTTGAACGAAACCGCCAAATCTTTCTTAACCAATGCCTTAATGCGTGTATTTAGGAAATCCTTTTAAGTCTAGAAACGATCCACAGGAAATGATTGTTTCTATATTTTTAACTCGTTACAGTAGTGAATGACCTTGAACCTCAGGATTGACCCATTGTTATGTGACTGGACATTGTCCTGTAGGTGCATATCCACAATATATGTAGGACAGAGACAATGTTATTTGCCAACAATTCCTCGTTTAGCTGTAATTAGAGCCTGCTTCCTGCTTGGTGCGTCGATTAGTACAATGTGCTTAGTTATCGGCAAAACATTACATAAAAGGTAAGGAAATCGTTTAAAGTAATAGCATAAGCAAGAATTAAAGAAGCGTATCCACATGAACGTATGTAGGAATGAAGCAATCACTACACAGTTAACGGTTATCCATTTTCAGTCAACATCCTTAATAGAAACCCATACGTACTCATGACTGACTACTGAACACATAAATATTTCGACGTCACTAGAAAGAATGGTTCATCGAAATAATCATATGGGTCTGTGGATGGTCTAAAATCCATTAATCTGTTTTCCCCTACATCATTTACAAGGCCGAACCTTCGCTGTACGATTATTACAATATCCGGCTTAAATGAAGTTATTTTGGTGTTCTAAGGCTCCATGTGTACGAACGTCACCAAGAAGAGGCTCAACAAAGGCATATTATAAACTAAGTTTTTAGGTCCATAGCATCGTTCATATTCCTTAGTAAAATTGGGCAAATCCTTTTTGACTGAATCTGTTGCTCTGCTTTATGGTCTGGAATGTGCCAAAAAGCACGTCGCTAATGCTAAACTCTTGAAATTTGGGCACGGCTGTTGAAGTAAACAATTTTTAATAATTACGGGGTCTAAATACAGAAAGGAATAATCGACAGTCTGTCATTTTCTATACTGAGACGAAGTCTAATGTCCGACATTTACACTTAAAGTCTGAAGGAGTAATTGCGACACAACTTGACATTTACTTATTTATATCCATAATCACAAAATTTGTTCATGTTTCTAAATATTTTAAGAGAAAAATCTACCCATAGATTGGTTAGTTTCTTTGTCGCACCTAAGTACACCATGTTAATTAGACCATCCGTTAGCAACGTATATCCACCGTTTGGAGCGTCATTCTTCCATCAAATCGTCGACCCACTACAATACAGCTAACTCACCCTACTTTTTAATTGAATTAACTGTGGATTTAACATCCTAACAAGCAGGTGAGTCACAGATTACAGCAACCAGTTTAATAACTATGCGTCTATTGGACTTAACACTGTGCAGCCGCACGTCAGTCATTTCTTTTAATTCAGAAATGTCTGCAGATATTTCGTTGAATTCTGCTGGCCTAGTATTTCCTCCTTAGATACCTACCATGAACACGTCACTAAATCCAAGGGTAAAGATGTGTCATAGGCCAGAGTTTTTGAATAGGGTTTTTTTTAATCGAAGGTCCGTCCACATTAATATGCAAATTCAATGAACCAAAATGACAAGTACTCAACGGGAGTTCAACTAATCTTTGCAGATTTATTTTCAATCCGAAATCGTAGTAAACACTACTGCTGATTTACTTAGTTGGAACACTTGTGCACGTTCGTAGGACACTGCTAATACTGCTTGGTAAATCCGGAACAAGACCTCGAAAATCATTCGGAATGCGACCATCATCATCATATTCATCAATGATATATTTATCTGTTCTTTCTAGATTGTGGACTTTTTGTGAACACAAACGAATATCATTATATCATACAAGAATTGGATTAACGATTTCACTAGTGGGATAACAAATATCAAAGCAGAATTAAAGATAACAAGTGACGAAATCTATAGTTTTATTCAATGAGTATTCTGTAAATAATTCCCAGTTTGTCCTACGAAACATGTTTTTCAAATTTTCGATATTCCTGTATTTAACTTTCTTCGTTTGACGTTAAAACGTACTCTCTTCAAGATTGCCGTATACTTTACGTAGAACACGAATATTACAACGGGAAGAAATAGACAATGGCGCACGTTTACATATATTCCCACATCATTAGTGATAAAGGGTTCAAATGCATATCCGAACGAGTGTAAAAATCAACTATATTTTGATGATCTAATGGTCACAGAAGGCTACAATCACCACATATGATTAACAGTAAACTACTGAAGGCGGTAATAGCGAATCCAGTGGATTCGTCAACGAAAGAGATGGTGCTGACGGTCTGCAGTCTGGAATTACGTGGATTTGGTAGCATAAGCATATTTGTATTTGTGCAAGTTATTTGAATGGCATCTTAGAGCAAAAGAGTTCGTTAAGTCATCTGAAAACTCAGAACATGCAAAAGCAAATTAGTAATAGTTCACAATTACGGCGAGACTATAAATACAAATCCTAATTCCTTTCGTCATTCCATAGTCCTCGCTTAACACTAGTAGGTAGGTGGACATCCCAAGGTCATTTTAGCGTTGCTCGTCCACCTCAAGATCTGACTAATGTTCGCTGTTTTAAGTACATCTTACCAGCAACAATGATGTCTCTGATTGTACTTTTTTGTAAATTGTAAAGCGACAACTTGTTAACTTCTCATATACGTGCTTGATGTGTTAAAACAAAGAGAAAACTTCTTGAAATATCTGGATGGTATCCCGAATATTCCAGCAGGTCGATTGGTGTGAACTAAGACTGATGTTTACACCACGTCATATTAATAAGGCACGGTAGAACAGCAATAAATAATCAGGAATTCTAACAATGTTTTAAGATTTCAGTGTATATATCTTGACACAATGATAAAAAAGTTGAAAGATGTGATTTATTGATTTACGGAATTTATCAAGTGAGTAAAGAACTAACTTCTTGGGTTTATTGAACATCTATTTGCAATATTTGTTGATGCGTGAACTTATTGAGTTACTGATCAGTTTATTCCAACGTTGTTTATTTTCTGCAGGCTTTTGATTCTGTCACTCACCAATCTGTTAACGTTTGCGATCTATTCATTTGTAGACCTTTCGATTCGTCTAGTTTATGAATATTATGGATTGTTGATTATTTTGATTTATCGGCTTATTGGTTTAACTGACCTATTAGTTGTTTGATTTATGGATTAAGTGGGTTTTCGATGTTTTGATCTATCGGTGTGCTGTTTATTTCTATTTTTTGTTGTCAATTTGTTGATTTTCTCCACTCTTTGGTGAGCTATTGCGATTTGTTCGCCTGTTGGTTAGTTCTACTTTGTTTCATCACTCAATTGCTTTCGTTAAATATTTTTCATTAATGAATGTTGTTAACTCCGTTACCACACTCTGTAATTACTCGCTTCTCATTCAACTAGTTTTGTTTGTGTATTGCCTTATAATACCTGTTAATGTTTAGTAGGCAGTTCTGTTTCTAATAGTTTTTAAACGTACGATGTATTGCAAGTTTATTTCTTATGTATTTACACAAACTAGCAACATTTACTGTTTTTATTATCATAATTACTTTCCCTCAACTCTTGTAAAAAATAATCCATTTTCGCAAATTTCTTATATGAACATAACAGTTCACATTTTTGTGTACTTTTGGTTCTCATCTCAGTTGTTGGTAAATTGTTGCGGTAAATTTATACGGCATAAGTCGGAAGATACCTTCGATCTAAAATGACCTCTCTCTAGTTGACACAGATTTGACGGGCATTTTGCATTTGGAAAGTACAGAGTAGACCACCAGACTGTGTGCTCCCTGATTCTCTAGTTTACTTGCATGTGTACTAACTAATTAATTTATAGAACATTCATATTGACGGATCATTCCAACAATTATCAGTGTTTAATTTTCCGTAGCTAAAAATTTTTTACCTGTGGCTAATAGTAATACTCATAGATTAAATAGTACAAATATGATACCTGTTGACATGAACGTTCTTTTCTGGCAGCGACTGTGTGATGACTAAATGCATTTGAATTGTAGTACAAACTGGAGAAATAACGCATTTTAACCAAAGAGAACTAGATGAGCACGAACGAGCGTATTGTATTTGGAATTCGAAATCAAGTACAACGGAATCATTAGTTCATACAAGCACCAAAGATTGGTCGATCAAAGATTTTTCAGTTTTAGATGAGCTCGAACGTGGCCATAACGATTTACGACGAGTAAGTGAAACAGGAATCTGAAAATGCATATAACATATCCACATTAAATTCATTAACGAAGTAAGGGAAATCTTGGTGAATGTTGGAAGCATTTATGTTATTTCTCAATGCATTTTCAGTGTTAGAAGACCCTCAAAATGCCGGTCTCATCAAAAAACCAATAAGAATGTGTAATTTCCTTTTGACATTGTGCAACAAAGTATATTATTTTTGACACTGTAGTGATCTACTTTTATGAAGAGAACGCGATCGGTGCAATGGAAACATTCTTATTTTTTTGTTTAATTGTACCAAAACACACTTTTCCGTTGTTTTATGACCTTGAACTCTCACGTACGCGTAGTAGTCTCGCTTGCAGATTTTGGCACGATCTCGTTATTATTCTGATATCACGAGATAACCAAAGATACATACTAACTACAACCTATAACTGCCTTCTAATATTTGTCCTACGGATTTGTTTAACCGGGTAATTGGCACTTAATCGATCTGTAGTGGTGATCCTAGTCAACTGCGATTCGACCCCAACTACACGTCTATGCTTCCAGCTGCTTTACGTAGCCTATTCTATGCAGTCCCTCAAAAGTGTGAACAAACATACATTTACTGCAAGATTTATGAAATATGATCCATTACTTAAAAGGAAAACGTCGGCCCACCACCATAATATACTTAGGCTTTGGATAAGGTGGCTGATTGTGTGAAAAATAATCATTAGTGACACCAACAATGCAGAGTCTAGGACTTCTGACAGTAGATGTATAACTAAACTTTAGTGACCTGGCAATCCTCAAAATGACATACTTATTACGTCAAATTAACTGAACTTGGTTCAGAGGATGGAATGCTCAACTGACGTTTTTGCCAAGAAACTGGACTGTATGAGAAGTGTACTGAAGTTCTATATGTCAACTCGACGCACAATACGAATAAGAAAAGGTAAGAAGTTACTCAATATATGTTACTACAGATTTTCTTCGTTCCTGTTAGTGAGGATTGATTGTTGTGGAAGAGGTCGTCCTGTGTTGTTTGTCTGGAAGAAGAAAGAATCGATGGGTGATGTCGACATCTGATTTCAGATGTTCACAGGAATTATGCCAAATACCACCCATACACATAATCTCGTTACGTACTGTGCTAAAGAAGAAAAATCAACACGATATATCACCTCAGTACATATAAGTTAAAATGGAACAGCCCTAGGTTTAAGAACATATTCTGGTAACAACTATTGTAAACATTATAAGACTAGTGGTCCACGCGCTCAAATATTACCACAGTTGTATGGAAACACTATATTTTAATATTGAATGACAAAGTTCTCGTCTTGATCTTTATAATGCAGGTGTGTGATGCAACGCTTTTCGTGTTCAAGTGTGTAATTGTGACACTCCGGTTTAGAATACAGTCACTCCTTTATCCGGTTACCTTGTGTGGTATGCTGTCGATATATCAAAGAATCCTACATCCTCTCAGTCTTAATAATTCTGTCCAAGGTACAACTTGTTTAAATGCCTCTTATAATGAGATTTGATGAGTAACTGGGGTGCTGACATCATTAATGTAGTTTATACCTCCCAGAATTTTTTAATTCTGAAACCAGCACTTTAAAACTTCGGCGTAACTTTAGCAACATATTGGGATTAGGTGGTCACGTCGTGACGAGTCTACAATCTTGGGATTAAGTCTATTGTTCTAGAAGCCAAATTAAATGTACTGTTATCAAACTAGACTATTATTCCCCAGTTTCATCTTTTGCTGTATGTTACGTCTGTCTGCAATTAACAAAACCAGTAGATCAATGCTTGCAACCTATACTCGATTACGAATAACGTATTTTTGTCACTTAATGAAATACTAAGTGTAACGCAATCATAAACGAGATAATAAAAAATCTAACATAATTAGGGTGTCTTTTTGACGAAATTCCAGTCATCATGTTGCGTGATACGTGAAGAACTGGGTTTGTTAAATATTATTTTTTCCGATCTTAACTTTGTAAAGCACGTACGTAAAATAGGTCAATTATAAAACTGTGATTCTCATCTTGTCATATCAAAAGGTTAGTCGTAAATGTCTTTTATGTACATCAAAACATACCCATTTCCCTATCTTTCCGATGAATCCAAACATGTAAAAAAATATTACAGAGGTTACTATCACTATCTAAGTTTTTTTGTATTTAACAACGTGTAAACTGTTAAAATTATAGACAGCCGTTTTATTTACAAGTACACAGATTAGAAAAATTTAAGCAGTCAAATTTTATCCTGAATATCTGATAACAGACAGATTCGCCATGTTGCGTATCAACGCTGGTAAACTGTTGAAAATGTTCCTTGTAAATGTACGTAGACTGATAACAATTCTATCGCGATAAACGGTGGATATCTCTTGTTGTCTTTTAGAAAATTTTTGGTCAGTAGGCTTGTGTTTCGATGCATTACATAATCCTGGCTTAATACTTTTCCACAGGGAGTAACAAACCTACAGGACATACAAGATATAAAGATGTAAATGACTGCCAGATAATAAATCTAACATCAGTCACAAATAAATCTATTACGTTTTTCAAAAGTTTTGCATTAATTTTATAGCAATTTTCCTTTATGGACTAAATACATCTATAACAATGTGTGTAAGCTCCTATGATTTAGATAGACATAAGCTTTGTTTGATCATGTAGAATGTAAAAATAATTAAGGGTAGTTAATCATATGAACCACAAATACTAACTTACTTACGCTACTTGTTGCTCGCGCAGGGGCACAGACCACACATCAGCTTCCCACATTCAATTCTCTCCTGAACAATCCTGTCCAGTTCTTCCCACTTGCTATTCATCCTTTGATGTCTGCTTCCGATTCTCGGCAAAATGTGTTTTTTGGACTTCCTCATTACCGTTCCCCTTCATGACAAAGTTTCCATAAAGTTTTGTTGTCCATATTGTCAAACCACTTCTCATGGTCGAGGATGTTCACGTGTAGTAACGAGTTCCATTCAATTGATTGTTCAATAATGATCCGTCCTGTCGCGACCTTTCCTTAAGGGATCCGCCCTACCGATCTCGAAGTTAAGCGATTATAGAAGTTTCAAATGGATTGTAGCGGTAAATAAATCCCTAAAATAAATAGCTCTGTATTTCTTCGACATTGGGTGCTGACCACATTAGTTTTAATGAACTCACCTGGCTGAAGGCACTCGGTCATGCATCCGCACCAGATCACGAGTGGGAACGCCGTGCTCAACATCCCTTGTAATCGCCGGCCAGAATAAATCAGTCAATCCACGATATATATTTATAGCCTATAAAATATATCTTCGAACCTCGTCGCTTCTGTCTTTCGATTTACCTTGATGGGTACGATTCACATTAGGTGTTACTGATTAAAGCGTTGTCAAACTTCAAATACCTGTGGCATGTTCAGGATTTTGCTTGAAGATAGTAAAATACTTAAAACAAATTGATGGCAGACTTCCTTGTTCGTCTTATGTAGAAACCGTAAACCTGTAGTATTAAACATGAATTTTCAAATAACATATGTTATCATATAAAAAATGTGTTCTACTCACTTGTTCTACTGTTCCTGAACCTCGATGATTCGCTTACTTCCTTTGTCTTTGACTAGTCTCCTTGGTTTACTATATTTCCCTCCCGGTTTCGTTGCTATCTCTCTTGCAGCTTTTTCTGTTGTCGTTTTATTGTCTTCCATGTATTTCTGCTTGTAGCCTCTAATGCCCCCTTTCCTTCCTTGTTTGCTTTAGTATATTCAGCTTGTGCATTTACTTCCTCTGCTACTTTTCGCTTGTTGTTAATTGCTGTCTGTTTGTTTTTCCTTTCTTGAATCCAATACAGGGTTTCGACAGAGATTCATTCCTTATTTTGATGCTTCCTGAAACTCATAACCCCCAGACACATTGAAGTCAGTGCTTCTTCGATTCCCATCCCATTGTCCTTCATAGTAGTTTCTTCTTCTGTGATCAGATCTTGTAGGACTTGGAACCTTCTTTTGAGTGCTACATTGAATTCACTGAGCTTGTCATAACATTGTGCATAATGTTTATCGTGACTCCCTTCTTTTTGTTTTGGAAGATTCTTCTATGCTTCTGGTTCCATGAGATTCCGATTTTACTAGTGCATTACGTGCTCATTTGAATGGCACCAGAACACCTACCTTGGTGATTGGAGCATACTCGTCTTGATGACTAGAGTACAGCGGAAACTCTCAAGAATTTAATTTTTTTGTCTAGTTTGGGTCCGATGGGTTTTACTGATTTTGAGCACCACCAAGTTGTATCCTCATTTCTGCAGCTATCTGACTGGTTCTTCCGGTCCCCGCATTTCGTGAACATTCCATGTTCCTATATTATCTGCTGCTCCGGGTATTAGAAGAAGCATCGGCATCGTTACTTTCGAATAATCCTGGCTTTCACCATGTGGCATCATAATTCCCCCAAACGAAGATCCTTCAACTCCCAGAGCAGAGTTTAAATTGAGTCATTAAAGAGGAATAATATATATCTGTAAAATCTCAGCGAAAGAATTTGAAGTGATTCCAACGTTTCAACTGGCAATCTGGTCCAAGCTTTTTCAAGGAAAATATAATCAAACAACAAACTTATCGGATATAAATAGGTACATGGTTCTTCGGTCTACTGTATACTGAATAAG